CTGGATCAGCTAGTACACCTGCCTTTTGCCCATTTACAATTGCATCTACCATGACCAGCTCTACCTATGGACCTTTAGACATTGCTACTCAGGAGGCCAATAGATTTTTTATGCGGCTTCTACTTCTAGCTCTTCTAGGGATTGTATCAACATCTCTGGAGTAGAGCATCTCCTGCTCAGATTGTGACTGAGGGGTACCAGGAGGATCAGTAGCCGAAGCTGTATGTGTCTGAAGGGTTGACAGAGGACTTCCTAGCCTTAGGACTAACGCTCCTAACTTTATCGACTGGGTAAAGGAGACTAAGAACTCGACTGGCTCGACTGGTTTCCCTGTACAGTCTTTGGGACTGGCCCTTGACAAGTCTCGCCACAATTCATGCATTTCGCCCCATAGTATCTACCATACCAGACATTCGTTGACCCATTTTGGGATAGATTTGGGCTTTTTTGTCTGACCATTTGCTGGTTCCTTGGAACCAGGTTCCTTAGCCTTCCATGCAGCGGTGACCCCTCCCGCATGACTAGATTCACCGCTGAAGACTCTCCATGCTATGTGACATCAAGGTCAGGAGGAAAAACAATCTGCTCCTGGTTGATGTCATGGAGATGACCTCTCTTTCGCCAATCCTAGGGCATCTTCTTCCTGCTCCCCCTACTTGTATTCCTTAACTTGGCCTCTAGATTGAGTGCCGTGCTGCGACAGGATGCGAAATCATTATGCGTTGTGCTGGCCTAACTTGTTAGCAGATTCCTCATGTTCTCTAGGAGTGCACGCAGGTAAAATGTCAGGAGTATCTCAAGGTCATATTTGGCATTTGAGACCTTGACGAGGCGCTCAACTGTCTCAGTCACTCCGTGGACATGCTTGTGCTTGCGAGTCTCCAACATGGAGATCGTCTGTAGCTTTCTGGGCAAGTGTCTGGTAGTAGAACCTCTTCTCTACAAGTCCCATGAAACCCTCCCGAGTCCTGGTCTTAACCCAGGCCTTGCCTCCCGAAGCCATCTGTTGCTACAACCCTTTTCATAGCTTTTCAAGAATGTGGATGCTACAATAACTTCTTTATCCTTCTGTCTCTTTCATCCTGACATACAATGGGACAACCCTTGACCCAAATATCCCAATTCTCACCCCTTTTGTTCCCAGTATAAGCGTCTGGTTTCTCCAAAACAGTCTTGACAAAAGGAGGGTAGGGTAACGGACCTATAGCGCTCAATACCGGTGGTGGCACTGAAGAGGCCGACACTGGGACTAAAGAAGCCTGCTGCACCTTGTGAAGCAGCTGCAGCAGTGGCACCAGATGACTGAGGCTGCCATGTAGAAACTCCCTTGCTGGTGGTGGGGACACCAGCCGTCCTATACTACCTAGCACTTGTAGAACTGGTGATGGTCCAATAGGGAAAATAAGTGGCCTTGAATGGCCGCTGGAATGGCTGTCCTGGCCCGCAGTTTGGTCCAACTTGGCAAGCATAGACCCAATTTGGTCATTAAGGCCCAAGGTTGCTGTGAGCATGGCCTTCTCTTTTTCTTCCAATATTCCTGCCACCAGCGACTCCAACTTCTGCATTTCCCCTACCAGTACAGCCTGACATGCCTGTTTCCTATTCTCTGTTTCTTCCTCCAACTTTGCTAACCTAAGCTCTTCTTTAGTTGCTGTTTGCGAAGCACTGCTACAGAAATAGGCTGACTGATCCCTGCAGACTGACTGGAACCGGACTGATTGCTTATGCTTTGCATAGTGGTCTGACCACTTTCGGGTGACGTCATTGCTCACCTACCTGCTTTAACCTCTCTTCAGACGTGTCGCTCCCCACCTTCAAGGAGGCTTTGAACTACGTAGGCTGTTCCAGCAGTATGACTCCTCAATGTTATTCTATCGTCAGCCTGTTCTGTACGTCCACTCATAGACTGCTGCGCAAACATGCAAGCCCTGACAAATACCATGCTACCTATTTAGCGCTTTGAAAAGAAAATGCGCAAAAACAACTCGTCTAGGTAGATTACAAGCAGTCTCTACATTGGCCAGTTTCACCGAAACTGCTGCACAAACATCGAAGCTCTGGCAAATACCATGCTACCTAATTAGCTCTTGGAAATGACAAAGCGCAAAAACAACTCGTCTAGTTAGAGAGCAGTCTATACATTGGCTATGCATTGTCTATCAGGACACACCAAAATCTGTCCCACAGCTCGTCAAATAGCAGTGGTCTAATGAAAAGGAAAACATGACAAGGTGGTAATGGACAAATGGATGCTGTTGGAATCTACACTCCGTTCACATTCACTAAGCTTCTAGTTACTTGTGAGAGCAGTGACTGGAAACGGGGGCCCCCCCAGTGCACAAACAACTTAGCGAGGAGGCCAGAACCCATCAATAATTATTTGTAGTTGTAAACAGGACGACTTGGCCACCCTCCTTATTTTCTCTGTAAGACAAGGTGAAGTGGTCATGTCTGCACATGCATACATGATCTAGTCCCGCATCATGTGCTTCTTCCACTTTGGGAACTTCCCATGCACCGCCCGTCTCCAACCAGATGCACCAGAAGAAGGTCGACTCTCAAGGTAGCACTTGCTCGCAACTCACAGTATGGGCATCTGATTTATGGGACAGCCTTTTTCTATCCCCCCTTCCAGACCACCCCCTCCAATATCTCGTCTGGACTAGCCTACCCTCTAACCTGAGCAAAACAGAAAGGATCTGGTTCAGAATGATTCGCAAGGTCACACTCTGGGCTATTTGGAAATAGAGATGCAGCAGAACACTGGAGGGCACCAAGAATCCAAGGTCACACTCTGGGCTATTTGGAAATAGAGATGCAGCAGAACACTGGAGGGCACCAAGAATCCAAGGGAGAAGGTTTGGGCAGGCACTAAGGGATGATCGAGGCGGAAATTTTATGCCAGTGGAAGAAGGTCAAAACATGGGTGCAGAACAATCCGGAGACAAAAGAGATGGTAATGGCAAAATTCAACCGGATTTGGTTGGCAAACGGTAAAGTGGGGAGGCTAAACGGACTCAGCTTGAGATGGAAGGACTGGCATAACTCAGACTCAGCAACAGGTCGGGATATCTCCCGGACACAAGAAGAACCATCTTTAATCTGGGTATAGCAGGACAACTAGGCAGACCAGAAAAGACGACAACAGCAAGGCGTTCATAGACAGACGAGGACACTGGGTTTTAGAGAAGGCACAAAGAGAGCGCAGCAACAATGAACAAGGAAGATTGGACAGGGTTTGGCCTCTCTCAGAGTCTAGAGCTTTCAGTAGACCCGACAGCCAGGATACACCCTAGCTGAGAGGACTTTGAGTATGAAGTACTATAAACGCAAGCTGACAGTCAATCCTCCATGAAGATGGAGCAATCAATGCTGGGCAGGGTTCCTTCGGCCAGACGGAAGGAAGCATGTGTGTGTGTATTGTTGTATTTTCTTGACTTGCTGGTGGAAAAGGAACCGGACTGACGCTCCCCAGAATGGATATGGAGCCAGGACCATAAGGCCCTGTTTTCGGGAAAAACAAAAAGAATAGTGGAGGGTAGACAAGGTCAGGGACACTTACTTGATGATGCTGCCTCCAAACACAGATGATCTCACCAACTGCTGATGATGCTCACAAACCACTGATATTGCAATGCCAGTACTGCCTCAAGAAACGACAAGCACCAGTATACTCCCATCACTTCCGTCCAATTTCCACCCCTCTGCCCTCGACACAGCACAGGAGCTCACTCACCAGCTGTAAACAACGCCGCCATGGTAAACACCCATGGCACAATACGCCACTGCCGGCGCCATAAGACCTGACTCGTCAACTTTGAGTTGCATTGGCCAGGGAACCCTCTCCAGGACTAAAACACAAGGAGCCAATCAATGGGAACACAATTTTTCTGAGCTGCGAATTTTTGAAAGACTCAAAGCAGGAAAATCATATATGAGGTTTAGCAAAAGCTGAATTACAAAGTGGAGAGCACACCAAATGAGAACACACTGACACGGAAGTCTCTTGACAAATAAAAGTCCTTTTCCCAGTCACTCCAGACTTAGCTCCAACTGATGTCCTCTCCCAGTACAGATATGGCTGCTGCTGGGTGTACCAGCTACCACTGCCGCTCCTCACCTTCCTTCCTCAATGAGCACTGGACGCGCTCATGTAGAGCTACCATTGTCAGTCTGTGCCTCCAAATGTGTGGAATGCATCGGCCTTCTCGTCAGTCCCTTGAGGCAGTGTCTGAGTTTCTGAAGATCGACTGGGCCATAGCCTTGGTTCCAGCAGAGAGGCTGGGCCTACTGGTTAGTTGGAGAGGCTGGGATCCAGCCTCCTTCCAATTGTATCATTCCAGCCTTCACTCAGCGCTGGCGGGCTTTCTTTCTGCCGCGGCCTTCACTCAGGGCAGGTCCTATCTGTGGGCGACTCCTGTTGACTCCCAGCAGTAATCCGGGTTAGGAGAAAGAGTCTCTTGGTTGGAAGGGTGATTTAACCTAAGCATACGTGCCTAGTACTGCCTACTACCTGCGCACAGTTGCTCATAAGTTGAGAACGGAGGTCCTCTTTGGAGAAGATAATGTCAAATTGTGTCAATGGTTGTTCAACTTGTTCTTGATTAAAGCATAGAAAATATTTTGGAAAATCACCCTCCAAAGGTCAGTTGCCATCTAAACTAGGCTACCAGAGTGGCCCGGGACCACTTGCCCGGCCGGGTCAAAAACAAATAAAAAAAAAAGAATTTTTTCAATTTTATTTTGTATTTGAAATTCGGTAAAGAATTTCGATGTGACCCTGAGGCAAAAGTTGTTCAGTTTATTTCCTGCATAACATAGTTCGTTTTCGTTTTTTTTTGTTTTTTTTTTTTGCGCTTTTTTGCTGGGACCTTCCTTGGTCCTTGCACGGCCGGGCCGCCCAGGAAAACAGGGTGATCCGGGCGGCCCGGCTGGTAGCCTAGCATCTAAAGCTATTCACGGAGTTATGAAATTGATCCGTTGTGTGACCTCTTTTCCAGGGCCAGGTGTTTAGAATGCTGGAGAGCCCCTTCTTGGAGGAGAATGACAAGGCCATCCTCTGGACAATACACGAACGATACAATCCCGACTCTTTTTTTGAACCCTTCTTTGCGGCTCTCCCCCAAACATTCTGCACAGGTTCGATGTCCTTACCTCCTCAATATATTCCTGGAAACCTTGCACACTGCAAGAAAGTTGAAAGCAAAGAAATGGAAGATCGGTGTCCACTTCTCCATCCGTCTTTCCAGCTGTTTAAAGCGGAAAGCAAGGAATGGGAAACATGTGTCCATTTGTTGATCCCTCTTCCCAGCTGTCTAAAGTGGAAAGCAAAGGATTGGAAAATCTGCATGCGAGCTTGTCCGTCTGTACTTCCAATGGCCTATCTGCCTTTCCCTATGATATGTGTCTCTCCACCTTCCTTCCTGCCTATCTGACCAGTACCTCTTCATATGCTTGCCTGCCTGGCACTCTCTGAGTGCCCGCTTGTCAATGTCTGTCTGTCTCGTTGTTTGTATGTGTTGCATCCTCTGCTTGGTCATCACCTATTGTTGAAGGGAGTAAATTTATCCATATTTTGCCACAGGTGGTCTATTGGCAGGTTATTGTCTCAGCTTTCCCTGACAGGGATCGAGTAGGGTTGGAGTAGGACGATGGCTGTAAGATTTTTCTACTTACTTTCTTTTCATGGAAGCAGTGCTGGAATTTAGTCCTGTCTTGGAGCCATTTGGCAATGGTTTCCTCATTTTCTGATTGGTATGCTGGCAACATTATTTTGGAAGTTTGGACATATTTCACGTAATTTTTTCACCTTTCAATGCAAAGGAAGGGACATTGCAAGCAATAGCTTGAAGTGCAAGAAACACCACATGACACTTCCGTCTTGCTTCTGTTCCCCTTTTTTGGCTTCACGGTCTTTTTCACCATGCATTCTTGAAAGATGGACATGCCATTGTTGAATGTACACTCAAATGGAGATGACATCAAAGTGCTGAACTCTGGTGGTTTGAGGAAAGTCAGTTGGACTGCTAGGTGTGTCTGGCATACAATTTTATTATTTTTTTGTACTCGTACAATGCGTTGTACGCGAGTTCAAAACGGGCGTTGTACACATTTGTACTCGACCAGTGAACAAATTGTTTGCGGTGCAAGGATCTGGGTCCTCGGCAGGCTTAAGGGGGCCCCTGTTACATCTGTGCCCGCCCTAAGTGAAGGCGGGCCTACCAAATCACGAGAAGCCCTCGGCAGTCAATTTCGCATTTGGGGTCCAGGCAGTTTCGTCGCGCCAGTTGGTTGAAAGAAACACAGGCCGAGCAGCGAGAAAAATTGCCAGGCCTTCTAGGCTTTTTCGAAAGCGCAGGCCCTGTGCGAGATTCGCAGCCTAATGCACAGACAGTTGGGAGGCCCAACCGAATGAGGTTTAGTAGCTGCACCAGACGCACAGCATCCTGGGGCCTACCGGAAGCTTCTGGGCCCCGGCCCAGGGCAGCCAGGCTGCGAAGGCAGGCCAGCTCTTCTCCATATAGGGAAGAGCTCGCTGCCTGGCCTCTCATTCAGGCACTCGCATGCTAGCGGCAGCGCTGCTGGAGCGGATGCTCGTGGGCTGCTGCTGGCGCTGAGAGGCGAGCTGCTAGCGCGTGCGGTCGTGCCCAGCCTCCATAGCTGGTTGGGCTTGGACTACAGTGAGGCGCAGGGGTGGTCTTCGGGTGTACAGGAGGAAGACGTGGGTGTAAGACGAGGGAGAGGGAGAAGGATGATGATGATGATGATGTGAGGGCACATACCTGGTATTGGCGATGGTCTGCTACGGGCGACATCTTCAAGTACTTCGTGGGCTGCTGACGTCAACAGTTGGATCATCAATTACTAGGTAGACTGTAGCTGTGGCATACTCCGTACCACACGGGCCCAGCAGAGCCCGACCTGGTAGACTAAGGGTCCGTAGGAGTAGAGCCTGTGTTGTTTCGGCCTCCAGCCTGAAAACGACGGGCCTACAGACCCTGTGTCATTTCGGCTTCCAGCTTGAAAACGACGGGCCATTTTTCAGACCCTCGCAAGATCGACCTTCCCTGAAACTCAGGCACCAGACCGTGGTTTAGCTCAGGCCATGATGGCCTATTTTGTGGAGCGTGAACCCCAGGGTCTGGCACGTTTTGGCATAGGCACGAGCAGCCTCTCGGACGGGCCAGCACTATATAATGCTGACCCGCCCTGTAGGCTGCAGGTAGTTGACCTGCACTTCACGTGCAGAAGGCAGGAGGCAGTCTTCAAGATCTGGCAGCGGCACGCTGGAGGAGTAGCGATAGTAGTAGTCTTCAGCGATGGGCGCTAGTAGGAGCTTAGAGAGAGAGAGAGAGAGAGATGGTTGGCGGAGGCCAGGGAGACTCACCTGCGGCGCCATAGCTCCAGCTTTGTCTTCGACATACCTGCAGCCAGGCGCCACCTTTCCAGGTTAGTACCGGACTACGAGAGAGAGAGAGA